AACATAATAAAGGAACTATTAAATCGTTTGATTGCATTAGCGATATACGTTAATATGAAAACAGCTTGTGGTAACTGCCGAATAGATCTCGAACAACATTTAAGTTGTATCACGGCGTGTCAGCTTGATGTGGGAGGAAAACCCGAAGTGATGCAGGTCTCAGACGTTTGCCACTTTGATGCAAACCACGAGCACCAGTAGGGTGCTGACAACCTAGAAACATAATCAGGAAGAATCTGGGGTTCGAACCCACGATCATAGGTTTCTGGTACATCTAAGGGACGCAACTCTATAGGTGATTGCGGCGCGTTAGACGCCTGTACCACCTGGACCACCTGATTGTCGTAAGATCATCGCTAAAATGGTTATACATGTATAATGTTGGACATGACTGATCGTGTGTCATCGTCCGGATGGTGTGGAAGGCTACTGATATGCTGACTACCATTGGTTCGGTTTGTGATATGAGGTATATCTGACAGCGGCGTTTAACAACATTCACTCACAATAATGGAAAAAATAATATAGCATATCACTGGAACGTTCGTCGGGAATAGTCCATTTCTGGTGTCCCCCGCCGTGATATTGCTGGAATATTGCTAAAAGCGGCGTAAAATCATACCCACTCACTCACTCGTCGGGAATATGTGAAAAATGATGGCGTTACTTTAATTGAATTTTCACACATCTCAGAGCATGCACCATTTCGTTTGAGGCAATATTGATTTGATGCGTTCTGTGGACAAATACACCAGTCTAATTAGAGCACTGGCGAGAAGCCACTGACTTATATAACGATACTCGTGAGTTGGGAAATCTGAATGCTTGGTTGTGACACTGTGACGCCGTGACGTTATGAGGCCGCGAGAGTGACGTTGAACGTCTCTATGGAGGACAACAACCCTTCTCATTCTTACTGATGTGTTTGAGTGGGGAAGTGTTTTACACCGGAGTCACCAATATGCCAACACTATCACGGTCTGTAAAGTGAGTGAGTTGGGTTTAACAGGTTTAAACATTATTCCAGTTATATCGCGGCGTGTCAGCTTAATGTGGAGAAAGCCCGAAGTGATGCAGGTCTCAGACGTTTACCACTTCGGTGAAACCCACGAGCACGGGTATGGTGCTGACAAACCTAGAAACATAATTGGGGCGAACCGGGATTCGAACCCACAATCATAGGTTTCTGGCGTGCCCAAGGGACGCAACTCTGCACAGCGGATCGCGGCGCCTTAGACGACTGGGCCACCCGTGCCCCCCGGTCTGTAAAGAAGCACGACTTTTACACGAATGATTGCTTACCAGGGACCCATTCTGCCCCGGCACCTCCACGGTATCTCAGGCGAAGTGAGGTTCAACGTCCTGTTCAAGAGTTTTTCACTTCTTTAACGACGCGCGCGAACGTGCGTGCGTGCGTGCGTGCGTGCGTGTGTATGTGTGTGTGTCTGCTTCTACTCGTCCGGATTTAGCCTACTGGCATACCATGCCGCAGTTTAACACGGATGGCTGACACTCAGACACAGTATACTGACTCCGAGCCGAGTTTAATCCCCTTCATGTCGATAGCCAGGCTGGGTAACAACAAGTATTCACTATACCACGGAGGCGGTCTCCACGGTATCTTACATATAAGTCTATCCAACCTCCCATTTTTACAAATACCATCAGGTAACAAAGTTTGATACCTACACCTTTATCTTAATCGGACTTTGGGCCGAGCGTGGATGCTGGGAATGTCTTCGGACATACGATCTCGTTAACGGCAACTAATTGTTTTACTTTTGTGAACTTCCTTAAGCCGGCCCTCGGTGGTAAAGCATTTTGAGTATACTTAAATATCCTTTCAATATTTTATTTCAGATAAAAAGTATGATCTAAAATTCTCGCGTCCAATTATAGTGAGTGAGTAGCGCTTTTAACAGTATTCCAGTTATATCACGGCGTGTCAGCTTAATGTGGGAGGAAAGCCCGAAGTGATGCATGTCTCAGACGTTTACCACTTCGGTGAAACCCACGAGCACAGGTATAGTGCTGACAAACCTAGAAACATAATCGGGTCGAACCGGGATTCGAACCCACAATCATAGGTTTCTGGCGTGCCCAAGGGACGCAACTCTGCACAGCGGATCGCGGCGCCTTAGACGACTGGGCCACCCGTGCCCCCTCCAATTATAGGGTAAAATTATAAGATATAGAGCAACGTATAGGATCTACATTGATATAGAGTACAAGTATAAGATTAGAGTGAAAGTATAGGATATAGAGAAAAAGGTGTAGAGTATATGGTGCTCGGCGCGGAGTCATCCCACAAATGGCACCCTTACCTTGTACGTGTGCTGACGGGATAAGCTTCTTCCGTCAGGTGGACGTGGCGGATCAGTTAGTACGTGGTGCGAATGCCATAACGGGATTCGGAAATTTTATGGCCGCTACGTTGGCCCCAAGTTGGGTGCTGACAAGGTAAGGATGTCATCTGTGGGATGACTCCACGCCCTGCTACATATAGAGTAAAGTATACGATATAGAGTAAAGTATACGATATAGAGTAAAGTACGGGGCATATACATATTGGATATAGAGTTAAAGTATATTCAGATCTAGAATGAACTTATATGATATAGAATAAAGTATAGAATATAGAGCAAAGTATAGGATATTGAGCAAAGTATAGGATATAGAGAAAAGTATAAGATATAGAGGAAAGTAAAGGATTTTTAGCAAATTAGAGGATATATAGCAAAGTATATGATATAGAGCAAAGTATAGGATATAAATCACATTATTGGATATAGAGCAATGCATAGGATACAGAGTACAGTATAGGATATAACTAAAAAAATTATGGAATATAGGGCAAAGTAAAGGACATAGAGCAAATTATAGGATATAGAGCGAAGTATAGGAAAAAAGCAAAGTAAAGGATATTTAGCAAATTATTGGATATACAGCAAAGTGTAGGATACAGAGTAAAGTATAGGATATACAGCAAAGTATAGGATATAGAGAAAAGTATAGGATATAGAGCAAAGTGTAGGATAAAGAGTAAAGTATTGGATATATCTAATAAACAAATAGAATCTAGAGTAAAGTATAGGATATAGAGCAAGTATAGGATATAGAGCAAGTATAGGATATAGAGCAAAGTATAGGATATAGAGCAAGTATAGGATATAGAGCAAGTATAGGATATAGAGCACGTATAGGATATATAGCAAAGTATAGGATATAGAGCAAGTATAGGAGTTTTAGCAAATGAGAGGATATAGAGTACACGTATAGAATATAGCGTAAGGTATAGGATATATCACAAAAATATAGGATATATAATAAATATATAGGATATAGAGTAAAGTATAGGATATATGATAAAAATATAGGATATATAGTAAGTAAAGGATATAGAGTAAAGTATAGGACACAGGGTAAAGCATATCGGTAAGTCATATCGCTGATGAAGTATGAAAACAGGTTTCAAATCATAACATTCCAATGAAATGTTATGTTCATTAAGCAAGAAAAAGTTAAAACCATTATTTATTGCTTTCCATTCAAAAGAGAAGGATAAAATTAATTAAAGTCATAAATTATTGTTATTGTAACTATATGTAGCTTTCAGTCTTTTTCCACAGTGATGCACTTTGTGAGTTAGCTCTCCAACCGTTGGGAGTTCATTTAATGCACAACGCTGGTCAAGTCTGTCAGGATCTAGTTTCACAGGCAGCATGTGGAGTGTGGAGTGATGAATATTTCATAACTCCCGCTGGCAGATAATCCTAATTATCACCAGCCTGATGCAAAATCGATTGTGGTTCCATACCACCAATTATCATCAAAGCAGTTTCTGCGAAGGCAGGGGGGCAATCAGGTAGCCTAGTGGCTAAAGCATTCGCTCGTCACGCCGAAGACCCGGGTTCGAATCCCGACATGGGTACAATGTGTGAAGCCCATTTCTGGTGTCCCCCGCCGTGATATTGATGGAATATTGCTAAAAGCGGCTTAAAACCATACACACTCACTCTGCGAAATCAGCCCCAAAACGAAAAACAGATGACTACAAACATTGACAAAAACACCATCACGTTGCTGGTCATTTTACGCTGTAGGGATTGTAATGCAATATCTATTAGGAAAACAGTATATTGATTTATTTGTGAAATCAAATTTCAATTAATCATAAAATATGCAGTAACCCCCAAACTCATTGTATTATCAGAAATAATATAAACATATATTTGTCAGCTGTAAGTCGTTAATTATTGTTGATTTTAGAATTTAATGGTTGTGTTGTGTATAATGCATCGATTACATGTACACGTTCAACTCAACTCAGATTTGTTGTATTTCAACACAAACTTTTGTTTGTTTGTTCGTTGTTTAACGCCGCAATCAGCAATGTTCAAGCTACATGTATTTGATGGAAATCTGTAAATAATCGAGTCTGGACCAGACAATCCAGTAATTGACATCATGAGCATCGATCCACGCAATTGGGATACGATGACATGCATCAACCAAGTCAGCGAACCTGACCACCGTTAGTCACCTGTTACGACAAGCATGGGTTGCTGAAGACCTATTCTACAGCGGATATTCACGGGTACTAGTATATGGCATTATGTACATCGGTTAAAGATATTGAAACAGCTTTTGTTATTATATTAAAAAAACTTCGCATCGTCTGTGTCATTTTACAAAGCAAATGTATATCATATGTATGCATATATACTAAATATACACATCTTTAAACAATAATGCGATCAAAACGTCAACGGCAAGTTTTGTAAACATTGATAATCGTGTGAGACTCAACACGCTTCCTGCAGTGATATATTTATCAAAAGTGTATTGATCACATCACACATAATTATCAAAACATTCCAGATAATCGTTTTGCACTTTTACAGAGGTCAAAGAGGTTACGTGTGTTAACACTTAACAAAGTATGATGCTGTGATGGACAATAGAAAACCACGTGGTAGAACTCAAAGGGAAGTACTTACTGGTCAATCACACGAAGGATGCTGCACCAGGCCTGATAGAATCACTGAGCAGTTGGTTATAGAGGTCCAGTTAATATGAGCGATGATATCTGGCTGAACCGATTGTAAACACAGTCTCGCATCCACATGCAGCTGACGATGAAGCAAGTCGGTTGGCCGCCTCAGTTAATTGAGATCGGACGATGCTGTCGAAACACATTGTATATCCAGAGTTGTTCAATTACTTGGATGCATCATGCTTGGGATATTGACTCCCTCGGAAGCGTCCGATTCCATACTCACAGAACACTAGTACGTTACCATGGTAATGCGTAATTTTCGTGTTACAAGCGTCAACGTGTTCGGTGATGGAACTGCACGGTGGCGACCGACAGCACCGAGGACGACTGATCCATTGATGGTTGAATCCGAAGCGCAGGCGACTTATCTCAATATAAACATTCCTTTAGCCGCTATCGTTTGGCAGGTCATAGTGCCGGAAGCTAGTCCTGCGCAGACGCGGAGGAGGGAAATCGATATTGAACGATGGCGAATGCCTCATCTCGGGGGCTGAGAGTCTCGCATGAGGTAACGGATATGGTACAGAACACGGCGCTTTCAACACACCACGGATCGATCCCGGTCATCCTTTGGATGTTATGGGCTTCCATGTTACAGCATAGATTCTGATGTTGGGATTAATCCATGCTAGACCCTGTGACATTGAGGGTGTAAATCAATACTGTGTTATAGTCGAGCCAAAACAAGCATTAAAGTCCTGTAGATCTTTGCGTTACTTGGATATGTCGGCGTCGCTTTGATACCGTTCGCCCCTCTCTCTGCAACTTGCTGCTTCAGAACTTCTGAACATATTGAAATCTTTGTACGTAGGGGACGGGGAGGGGTTGCGATGGAGAAGGGTAGACTAGTGAGGGGAAGAGGACGGGTAGAGGTATTGAGGGGTAGGGAAGGGGATAGGTAGTTTCAGGTAGGGGACGGGTAGAGGTATTGAGGGGTAGGGAAGGGGATAGGTAGTGAGGGGAAGAGGGCGGGGAGAGGTAGTTTCAGGTAGGGGACGGTGAGGGGTAGGGGACGGGGAGAGGTAGGGGACGGGTAGAGGTTGAGATGGAGAAGGGTAGACTAGTGAGGGGAAGAGGACGGGTAGAGGTAGTGAGGGTAGGGGATGGGGAGAGGTAGTGAGGGGTAGGGGACGGGGAGAGGTAGTGAGGGGTAGGGGACGGGTAGAGGTAGTGAGGGGAAGAGGACGGGTAGAGGTAGTGAGGGGTAGGGGACGGGGAGAGGTAGTGAGGGGTAGGGGACGGGGAGAGATAGTGAGGTGTAGGGGACGGGGATATGTCGGCGTCGCTTTGATACTGTTCGCCCCTCTCTCTTCAACTTGCTGCTTCTGAACTTCTGAACATATTGAAATCTTTGTACGTAGGGGCGGGGAGAGGTAATGAGGGGAAGAGGACGGGTAGAGATATAGAGGGGTAGGGGACGGGGAGAGGTAGTGAGGGGTAGGGGACGGGTAGAGATATAGAGGGGTAGGGGACGGGGAGAGTTAGGGGACGGGGAGATGTAGTGCGGGGTAGGGGACGGGGAGAGGTATTGAGGGGTATAGGACGGGGAGAGGACACTACCTCTCCCCGTCCCCTAACTCTCCCCATCCCCTACCCCTCTATATCCCTACCCGTCCCCTACCCCTCACTACCTCTCCCCGTCCCATACCCCTCACTACCTCTACCCGTCCCCTTCCCCTCACTACCTCTCCCCGTCCCCTACCTCTCACTACCTCTCCCCGTTCCCTACCCTTCACTATCTCTACCCGTCCTCTTCCCCTCACTACCTCTACCCATCCTTTTCCCCTCACTACCTCACCCCGTCCCCTACCCCTCACTACCTTTCCCCGTCCCCTACCCCTCACTACATTTCCCTTCCTCCTACCCCTCACTACCTCTCCCCGAGTAGGTGACGGGTAGAGGTAGTGAGATGAAGAGGACGGCTAGAGGTAGTGAGGGGTAGGGAAGGGGATAGGTATTGAAGGGTAGGGGACGGGGAGAGGTAGTGAGGAGAAGAGGACGGCTAGAGGTAGTGAGGGGTAGGGAAGGGGATAGGTATTGAATGGTAGGGGACGGGGAGAGATAGTAAGGGGTAAGGGACGGGGAGAGGTAGTGAGGGGTAGGGGACGGGGAGAGGTATTGAGGGGTAGGGGACGGGGAGAGATAGTGAGGGGTAAGGGACGGGGAGAGGTATTGAAGGGTAGGGGACGGGTAGAGATAGTGAGGGGAAGAGGACGGCTAGAAGTAGTGAGGGGTAGGGAAGGGGATAGGTATTGAGGGGTAGGGGACGGGGAGAGTAAGGGGACGGGGAGAGGTTGTGAGGGGTAGGGGACGGGGAGAGGTAGTAATGGGTAAGGGACGGGGAGAGGTAGTGAGGCGTAGGGGACGGGGAGAGGTAGTGAGGGGTAGGGGACGGGGAGAGATAGTGAGGGGTAGGGGAAGGGGAGAGATAGTGAGGGGTAGGGGACGGGTAGAGGTAATGAGGGGTAGGGGACGGGGAGAGGTAGTGAGGGGTAGGGGACGGGGAGAGATAGTGAAGGGTAGGGGACGGGGAGAGATAGTGAGGGGTAGGGACGGGAAAAGATAGTGAGGGGTAGGGGACGAAAGATTTAGGGGACGGAGAAGGGTAGGGAGAGGTAGGGGACGGGGAGATGTAGTGAGGGGTAGGGGAGAGGTAATGGTAGGGAGAGAGAGAGAGAGGAAGTGGGGGATACGCGACGGATGGGGAAAGTGGGGGGCCTGGGACTGGGAGGGGTAGAGGACTGGGAGAAGTAGGGGCGGAGGAGGATAGTAAGAGTATGGTATGAGGAGAGTTGGGGAACGGAGAGGGATGTAACAGGTAGTGGACGGAGAGGGGTAGCTACAGGAGACGGGGAGGGGTGTGACAGGTAGTGGACGGAGAGGGGTAGCTAAAGGAGACGGAGATGGATGTGACAGGTAGTGGACGGAGAGGGATATGACAGGTAGTGGACAGGGAGGAGTAGCTACAGGAGACGGAGAGGGATGTGACAGGTAGTGGACGGAGAGGGATATGACAGGAAGTGGACAGGGAGGGGTAGCTACAGGAGACGGAGTGCGATGTGACAGGTAGTGGACGGAGAGGGGTGTGACAGGTAGTGGACGGAGAGGGATATGACAGGTAGTGGACAGGGAGGGGTAGCTACAGGAGACGGAGTGCGATGTGACAGGTAGTGGACGGAGAGGGATGTGACAGGTAGTGGACGGAGAGGGGTAGCTACAGGAGACGGAGAGGGATGTGACAGGTTGTGGACGGAGAGGGGTAGCTACAGGAGACGGAGAGGGGTGTGACAGGTAGTGGACGGAGAGGGATGTGACAGGTAGTGGACGGAGAGGGATGTGACAGGTAGTGGACGGTGAGGGGTAGCTACAGGAGACGGAGAGGGATGTGACAGGTTGTGGACGGAGAGGGGTAGCTACAGGAGACGGAGAGGGATGTGACAGGTAGTGGACGGAGAGGGGTAGCTACAGGAGACGGAGAGGGATGTGACAGGTTGTGGACGGAGAGGGGTAGCTACAGGAGACGGAGAGGGGTGTGACAGGTAGTGGACGGAGAGGGATGTGACAGGTAGTGGACGGAGAGGGATAGCTACAAGGGACGGAGAGGGATGCGACAGGTAGTGGACGGTGAGGGGTAGCTACAGGAGACGGAGAGGGATGTGACAGGTAGTGGACGGTTGGGGATGTGACAGGTAGTGGACGGTGAGGGATGTGACAGGTAGTGGACGGAGAGGGGTAGCTACAGGAGACGGAGAGGGATGTGACAGGTAGTGGACGGTGGGGGATGTGACAGGTAGTGGACGGTGAGGGATGTGACAGGTAGTGGACGGTTAGGGGTAGCTACAGGAGATGGAGAGGGATGTGACAGGTAGTGGACGGAGAGGGATATGACAGGAAGTGGACAGGGAGGGGTAGCTACAGGAGACGGAGTGCGATGTGACAGGTAGTGGACGGAGAGGGGTAGCTACAGGAGACGGGGAGGGGTGTGACAGGTAGTGGACGGAGAGGGGTAGCTAAAGGAGACGGAGATGGATGTGACAGGTAGTGGACGGAGAGGGATATGACAGGTAGTGGACAGGGAGGAGTAGCTACAGGAGACGGAGAGGGATGTGACAGGTAGTGGACGGAGAGGGATATGACAGGAAGTGGACAGGGAGGGGTAGCTACAGGAGACGGAGTGCGATGTGACAGGTAGTGGACGGAGAGGGGTGTGACAGGTAGTGGACGGAGAGGGATATGACAGGTAGTGGACAGGGAGGGGTAGCTACAGGAGACGGAGTGCGATGTGACAGGTAGTGGACGGAGAGGGATGTGACAGGTAGTGGACGGAGAGGGGTAGCTACAGGAGACGGAGAGGGATGTGACAGGTTGTGGACGGAGAGGGGTAGCTACAGGAGACGGAGAGGGGTGTGACAGGTAGTGGACGGAGAGGGATGTGACAGGTAGTGGACGGAGAGGGATGTGACAGGTAGTGGACGGTGAGGGGTAGCTACAGGAGACGGAGAGGGATGTGACAGGTTGTGGACGGAGAGGGGTAGCTACAGGAGACGGAGAGGGATGTGACAGGTAGTGGACGGAGAGGGGTAGCTACAGGAGACGGAGAGGGATGTGACAGGTTGTGGACGGAGAGCGGTAGCTACAGGAGACGGAGAGGGGTGTGACAGGTAGTGGACGGAGAGGGATGTGACAGGTAGTGGACGGAGAGGGATGTGACAGGTAGTGGACGGAGAGGGATAGCTACAAGGGACGGAGAGGGATGCGACAGGTAGTGGACGGTGAGGGGTAGCTACAGGAGACGGAGAGGGATGTGACAGGTAGTGGACGGTTGGGGATGTGACAGGTAGTGGACGGTGAGGGATGTGACAGGTAGTGGACGGAGAGGGGTAGCTACAGAAGACGGAGAGGGATGTGACAGGTAGTGGACGGTGGGGGATGTGACAGGTAGTGGACGGTGAGGGATGTGACAGGTAGTGGACGGTGAGGGGTAGCTACAGGAGACGGAGAGGGATGTGACAGGTAGTGGACGGTGGGGGATGTGACAGGTAGTGGACGGTGAGGGATGTGACAGGTAGTGGACGGTGAGGGATGTGACAGGTAGTGGACGATGAGGGGTAGCTACAGGAGACGGAGAGGGATGTGACAGAGAGTCGACAGGGAGGGGCTGGGAATGGAGACAGGGTTGAGACGAAGAAGGAATAGTATAAGGAATGGAGAGCGGTAGTGGACGGTGAGGGGTAGCAGAGGAATAGGGAGAGGTAGCGGACGGAGAAGTGTATATGTTGGTAAGGTATGGGATACAGATGGCGAGTTTCACTTCTTCCACACCTTCTTTCATTCTATTATTGTTTCTCATCATCAAATAGCATGTATATCGTCATCTCCATAAATACGTGAAGCAGCAAATACATAAAACACGAGCACGGAAAACGCTTTCAAAACATTTCGATATATATTTAAACAGCCTGTCATTTATTTCAATTTGAGTTTCGTTGTACTTGAAAACGAACACCTGAAGCCTATCCATACCCTGTCACAGTGTGTAAGTTCTTGAAGCATCCGCTCGCCGCGCGCTTGAAGCGTGCCTTTGTGAGCGATGCTTTATGAGGTGTACTAACGAATGGTGGACATTGATAATTGATGTATTGTGAATATATCGTTAGTCTGTATCAATAACCCTGACAGATCACTGCATCGATTTCAGCCATTGCTGACATCAATAATGGATTGGCATCTTTAATCAAATCTATTCACTACAATTGTATTGTGTATCGTGCTGAGATACACCCGTAAACAAACCTCAGCCACGCGTCGGTTGAGTGAGTGAGTGAGTGAGTGAGTGAGTGAGTGAGTGAGTGAGTGAGTGAGTGAGTGAGTGAAAGAGTGAGTCAGTGAGTGAGAGCGTGAGTCAGTGAGTCAGTGAGTGGGCTTTCACGTCGTTCAGGGCGGTTATGAATCGGATGATAGACAAACGGCAAAATAGAACTTTAGTGAGTGAGTGACCAGGTTTTACGCCGCTGTTAGCAATATTCCAGGAATATAACGGCGGGGAACACCAGAAAATGGGCTTCATATATTGTACCCATGTCGGAATCGAACCCGGGTCTTCGAACGCTTTAATCACTAGGCTACCTGACTTTAAGTGGAGTCAGACAAGGTTGTGATATCAGCCCGTTTTTATTTGCAATGTTTATTTCAGAATTTCAATCCATGATGGAAGATGCAGATGTGAGAGGTATATTTATAGGTGCAGAATATTTGGAACTACTGTTATTATTGTATGCTGATGATTTATGTATTTTTGATGACAGTGTTATTTGTTTGCAAAGAAAGATTGACATTTTATGTAAATATTGTAAATCATGGGGCTTACAGATAAATATGGATAAGACAGAAATATAAGTTTTTCGAAATGGTGCACTGTGGTTATTTACGACATTATGAAAAGTGGTAATAACTATTTTGATGGCGATCTACTAAAGACAGCAACTTATTATAATTATTTAGGTATTATGTTTTCTACCAGGTGGTCATGGACAGTGCGTACAAATACTCTTGTTTCAAAAGCCAGTAAAGATCTATTTGTTATTAAGCAATTACAGCATAAATACCCAAATATTCCTGTAAATATGTTATTTAAGTTGTTTGATTGTAAAATAAAACCTAATTTGTTATATGGGGTGGAGGTGTGGGGCTTCCATGAAAGAGCTGTTATTGAAAGATTTCATAATAATTTTTGTAAATATGTATTGGGTGTTGGTAAACATGTGCCGAGTAGTGCAGCTTTAGCCGACTGCGGTAGACATGGACTTTATACAGATTACCACCAAACATGTGTAAAGTACTGGTGTAAATTGTTAAGAATGTAGACCGCCTCCGTGGTCTAGTAGTAGAGCGTCCGCCCGGAGAGCGGAGGGTCCGGGGTTCGATCCCCGGCCGCGTCATACCAAAAGACGTTAAAAGATGGTACTTGTTGTTACCCTGTCTGGCGCTCGTCATTAAGGGGTTAAAGCAAGTACTGGTCGGCTCGGAGTCAGTATACTGTGTCTGAGTGGGGTGTTCATGTTAAACTACGGCATGTGGGCTAGCACTATAAATCGGCATCAGTCCGGTCTAGTACAAGCAGCCAGACACACACACACACGTGCATGCACGTCGCTACATAAGTGCAATAATCTTGGACGCGACGTTAAACCCAATTTCACCTCACCTCACCTAACCTGTTAAGTATGTCAGATATTCGTTATCCCAGACAATGATACCTACATATTAAGAAGTTAGATTCAGCAGGAAGGAAGACATGTGCATCCTGTGTAAGATTGTTGTTATAAACGTATGGGTTTGGATATGCATGGGTTAGTCAAGATATTGGAGATATTCCATATTTTCTGTCGATGTTCAGACAGAGATTAGTAGATTGTGGAAAACAAAACATTTTTAGTATTATCAATGATTCAAAACGACTTGCACATTATAAGAATATTAAATCATTGCTGACTGTTGAATACTATGTTACAAACATCAATGTTAGGGAACTAAGAAGATATATATGTTTGTTGAGATTGCATGAACTGCCGTTGCGTTGCAATATCAGATGTAAAGAAGATGTAAACCGAATTTGTAGGATGTGTAATACTATTAGCATTGAAGATAAACTCCATTTCATATTTGATTGCGAGGCATATGTATTGCTGAGAAATAAGTACATACCAAAGTGGTATATTTCATCAAATATTTGTACATTTAATAAAATACTGACTTCTAATGATGTGTTTATCCTTAACAAATGTGCTAAGTTCGTTAAAGAAGCGCTGAAATGTAAATATGCACTTGATAGTAAGTATATAGTGTCATCTACCGCCTAATTGCCATATATGTAGGATATTGTTGTATCAACGGTGTACATGGGCAGATTGCCTACAAAACAGAAAATAAACTTCTATCTACCTGACCGCCCCAAATAGAACTTTAAAACTGTCTGCAGTTTGAAGCTGGATCCGGTTGACTCTGCGCAAGCTTACTTTGATGTCGCACTCGCACCTGACTAAAACACCAACGGAAATATACTATTTGTGTTTGTTTACACTTCGGCATGCCAAAATATAGTTCGTCTATCATCCTGTCCGACACCTAGGATCATTCTTAGAAAGTATTATTCTACGTCGTGTCGGCTTAAAGGGAGCGAAAAAGAAGGAGAAGAAAACGACGACGAAGAAGAAGAAGAAGACGAAGGAGAAGAAGAAGACAACGACGAAGAAGAGAGGAGGAAGACGACGAAGAAGAAAAGGAAGACAAAGAAGAAGACGAAGAAGAAACGAAAAAGAAGAAGACGACGAAGGAGAAGGAGAAGAAGAAAATGACGAAGAAGAGAGGAAGAAGAAGACGAAGAAGAAAAGGGAGACAAAGAAGAAGATGAAGAAGAAGGAGAAGCAGACGAAGGAGGAGAATACAAAGAAGAAGACGAAGGAGGAGACGACGACGAAGAAGAAACTGACAAAGAAGAAGACCAAGAAGGAGAGAGAGAGGAAGAAGAAGGAGGAGAAGATGAAGAAAGCCATTTATTTTGCTCTATATTTCCATACCACGCAGGGGCATACTCAAAGCGCTACACCACTATTACACCGGTCAATGGAACAGTGTGCACTCGATTTCATTCTCAGCTCCCTAGGGAGTATACAATCATAATCAGTTACTTATGAAAATATATCCCTTGTCGGGACATCCGATGAAATGTACATGTTAGTTGACAAGTAAATACAAGTATCTTCTAAAATATAAATCCTAACTTGCATATTTTAAAAATCCTATTCGTTTTTTATGTGAAAATTGTACCTCAAATGTTAACAAACTGACAAGTGTATACACGATAACCATTTTATACTGTCAATATGATACATTCACAACGGTCACAATTTCATCAATAAGGTAAACTGCTATGTTCTGGATTCACCCCTCGGGAAAAATACCATCCTGATCATGGTCACGTTCATCTGTAACCATGGCAACACAATGCCACCGTAATCTAATCCTTCCTGTGATCATAAAGTTCGATTAATTTTGACAAAGTTGGAGAAAGTTGCCTGACGATACAAATTGATACCTATCGCTCGTCATTACGAGGAGAGCTTGTCATATCGCTGCAGTAGACTATACAATATTACAGGTTCTTCACGACTCTCTCATTCACATCCCTTTTATGTCTCCGTAGAAAGGTTAAAAGGAGACTCTTATTTCAGGGGTTTCCTGACTCGGCGGTTAGTTTAATGTAGAAGTAATGATACTGCGTTGTTCAGGGAAGTGAGCGAGTTAAACACCGTTTGGAGTGAGTGAGTATGCTTTTACGCCGCTTTTAGTAATATTCCAATATCACGGCGGGGGACACCAGAAATGGGTTTCCGTTTTGGCCGTATTTTGGCTATATATAGAATACTAAACGAGCTCCCGTGTAATACCAATTTTATGAAACGAGTGAATAGTTCTGGTATCTGACGAGCGAAAGCGAGTCAGATACCACAACTATTCACGAGTTTCATAAAATTGGTTTTACACGAGAGCGAGTTTAGTATTTTATTTATTACTTGTCATTTATAATGTTTTTAGAATTATACTGTTGAGTGTAAATAGGCTGACACCTACACGATCCATGGCATAATCCAATTGAGTTTAACAGAATAATACTTCAAACACGTCAAAAATTGAAACGAATGAATTTAATATCATACAATGGTCCACCTTTAGAATTCAGGCGTTCGTCCCACAAAATGATCGTAGTGCTTAGGCTATCACAACTCACATAATTTAACTTAGACTAAAGACTCTCGTTGCGCTAGAGTACGATCACCTTGTGGAACGGGGCCTTGCAGCTCAAAGTTTACAATGACGTCACAATACCCGATGACGTAATTTGTTGAATTTTGTTGCAAGATCCATCGGCGAAACAATGCCATGTGACGTCAGCCTAGCAACAAGGTTGCTGGGGTCATCGAGTGTGCATAAGCTCCTCCGAGTGAACTATCATCTCCACACACAATGTTGTTGAATACGCCAAGGGATGTTGAGAGCTTTCAATATTTGTTCGTGAAACGTGTTCCGAGAGTACATAAGCACGCGTTTTGGTATTACACAATGTGTAATAAAGCTGTATGTTTATTAAACGGGTGATCTCTTCACGGGCAAGTAATAAATTAGGGCAGTGACCGGATCACAGATAAGAGCGGAGGGTGGTGGGGGTCGGGTGCTGGTGTATGTGTTTGCTGTCTGGGGTGGATGGGTATAGGGTGGATGGGTCAGTTCCCAACCCTACATCCCACCCTCTGTTTCTAATTGAGCCCTTATTCTAACCTATGCTGGTCATGAGAGGCAGCTTATCAGATCTTCTGGTGGGCAGGCTTGTTGATTAGGCGTTTCATCGTACCCCGACGATGTAGATCGTTGCTCACAATATCAATCACTGGATTGTCTAGTCCAGAGTTGATCCTTTAAAAGCCGTCGTTATATAGATGGTTGGTTGGTTGGTTTGTTGTTTAACGCCGCACTCTTTTCAGCGGTATGGGAGGACAGCATGGGAGGATGTTGAAATAGGTTTGTGGAATTAAAGGAGAATATTGCATAACATGCATGATCTGGTGTTTATTTTGTTTGTTTGCCCGGTGTTTAACGCCGCACTCAGCAATATTCCAGCTATATGACGGCGGTCTGTAAATAATCGAGTCTGGACCAGACAATCCAGTGATTGATATCATGAACATCGACCCACGCAATTGGGATCGATGACATGCATCTACCAAGTCAGCGAACCTGACCACCGTTAGTCACCTGTTACGGCAAGCATGGGTTGCTGAAGACCTATTCCACCCCGGATCTTCACGGGCCTTCTATAGATGGAATATTGCTGAGTGTGGCGTTAAACAACAAACATACACACACTGGACAATACCCATGTCTCAAAATGTACAGACCTCGATAGAATGACCTCCTGGGTCTAGGCGTGTCAAGCATTGCCAGATTAATGTCGGAAGAACGCAAAATGCGGTGCACATCTAGTTCTTTCACGGCTTTGATGAAACCTACGTACACTATAACAAGGGCGAATCTTGGTTTTGTGGCGGCCCTATTCAGTGTGTAGAGTTGCGTTCCTTAAATTAGCCGAACCAGGATTCGCTGATTGTGTCTTTGAGTCAAATATATCAGTGGTAATTATAATGGTGTAGGTCACGATTCCACTATGATTCAAGTACAGTAAATTACCCTATAACGAACACGCTTATAACGAACTAACGGATATAACGAACTTACTTTTTTGGTCCCGACTATTTGCTGCAGTTATGCTGTATATATGCTTAAAACGAACAACGGTTATAACGAACTAAAATTAGTATTGAATTTAAGTTCGTTATAACCGTAGTTTACTGTATTACGTATACGTTGACGCAAAACTACTTCTGAATTGAGCATAAAAGCTCTCACAACATAAATTGATTCAATTATCAACAGAAACTTCGTGAGGGCACCGAGACAACAGCCACTTGCATGCAACCTGTCTTAGAGAGAGAGAGAGAGAGAGAGAGAGAGAGAGAGGGAGAGAGAGAGAGAGAGAGAGAGAGAGAGAGAGAGAGAGAGAGAGAGAGAGAGAGAGAAAACATCGAACGCTGATTGAAATATAACCCAATGTACATTTCTATGATGGCCATTTACTGAAAACAAAAGCAACAAAACCCGTTCCATATTCATAAGAAATCTATGCTAAAATCAAAATTCATTGTACTTTTTCCGACTACAACATGTGCATGTGCTTATGAATTACTATCGAATAGTGATGACACCAGGTATTCGCGAAAAGGTGAGCATATGTCATATCCACCCATTTGAAACCTTGATCACAGTGATCAAATGCTTAATTTGGGAGGCGTTGGTTGTATAGGTCTTGGCATGCATGTATACGTATTTACACTTTAGACTGGGCATTATTCGGAGGTGAGGTGAATAACGCGATATAGGGGTTCGTGTCTATAAATGTAATTTGGCAAAAGTTATATTTCGTTAAAATTATCTTAATTGTGGTAAGGCAATGGGACCAGACAGGACGGCAAATATAAGAACAAATTATTTTAATATTCTCTCGTTTAAAGTTCTAAGGTTTAGTATATTTACAAAATTACATACTTTTTTTGTGTGTGTTTGCAATCAGATATTAATCTTGGCATGAATCGAATGGAGAATAATATTTTTGAAAATTATCTTACATAATGTACAAAATACATGACGAAAAAGAAAGCACAACAGAACGTTATATTATCTAATAGTATTTCTTCATCTGGGGGGGGGGGGGGGGGGGGGGGGGGGGGGGGGGGCACGGGTGGCCCAGTCGTCTAACGCGCCGCGATTCGCTATGCAGAGTTGCGTCCCTTGGTCACGCCATAACCAATGATCGTGGGTTCGAATCCCGGTTCGCCTCGATTATGTTTCTAGGTTTGTCAGCACCATGCCCCTGTTCGTGGGTTTCACCAAAGTGATAAACGTCTAAGACCTACATCACGGCTCAAGCTGACACGCCGTGATATAACCTAAACGTTGTTCAACACGTATTCTGCATCGGCTACCACAAGCTGCTCCCACCATAACCTACATAGCTGTTGCAATCTAATAACTTAATAATCCCTTTATTAATTCTTTTTAATCTAAATTTGTAACAGACGGTATTATCATTTACACAATATGTATTCATTATTCATATTAATATTCAGTAAAAACTGTTTTTCAGCGTGTTTATAGATGGAAAATTAATATCACACGAGGAGACATTTATTCGTAAAAAATGGTTCACATGAAATCAAATTATGGAACATGTGGTGTCTCCTTTGGCTTGGAAACTTTGCCTATGTTCATCCAGCAACGAATGGGTACCCGGTAGTAGTATGCCAACGAAACAAATATTGTCACTCATGACGTATAAACATATTTTTTTCCGTTATCGCTTCAGGGAATAAACTATTTATGCCTTTTTCAGAACATCCATAATATCCTGTGAACGATAGATGTTTGTTTTTTTCAGCATTTTGGGAACACATTATATTTTTCAAAATGTTACCAAATTTAAACATCAACGCCAGAGAATAACCAGTCTCGATTATCCACCGAAAGAGATTCCACTGAACGTGGGAGGCAAAACAGTATTGAAAATTATATGAATTGATCACTGAAAATCTGGATTGACACCAGGTGTTCACGAAAAGGGAAAGCATGTCCTGACCTACCGATGTAGAATATCCAGCCCCCAAGAACATCAAGACCCTAAGAAACCAAATGGAACCCCCAACATCCAGCCCCCATCCCCATCCCCATATTGAAATCGGACAACACCTTAGAGTGAGTGCGTGGTTGTGGTTTAATGCCTATTTAATTGATATGACATTAATGTTATGACTTAATTTGGTTGGACATTTGATAATACGTAGATGTTTTGCAAAACCATATTTGTAACACAACGAACACCGTAAGAGTGAGTGAGTGAGTTTAAATGGAACATCGCATCGGCAATATTGAAGCCATACAACGATGAGAACAAGGTATTCATCATGAAATATATGTGGACAAAGTCAAGCAGACAGGTATATCAAAGTTTTAGAATAAAGCAAAACAGATAAAAAATAAGAACATTTCAATATGTAATAGATTACATATGAATT